CTCAGCCCATAGACATGCAAATGGAGTGCACTGACCCGCTAAAGAATGATTGCGCATCTGGCATGCAGAATGTCTTCAAGGACACCACAGTGACCTCCTTGAGGTGGTGGAGGTGAGGGAAGACAAGGCTAATGCAGTCCATTAGCTTTGGTCAATTAAGGGAAAAAAATACTTGCGCAAAAGACAGTGTTGGGGATGGGGAGCAAAATGCCCTAACTTCAGCTTCCAGCCTAACACGTGGATTGAAGTGGTCCAAATTTCTGTTCTGAAATGGGGGGTGACTCAATTTGTCAGCAAATGAGTAATTTATGCACATTACTATATCTGTGGCGCTTGGGCTAATTGGTCATTTTTCTGTGGTGTAGCCATTTCTGTCAATCAAGTTGTGAATGTGTTTCAACAGCACAGGCAGTGAACAATGTTGAACATATCCCTGGCTATGATCTCTTTCAGCAGCACCTGGCACAGATGGTGAAGGAGTTGTCAAAGGGGTTGACAACCTTCTTGGGCATAATTTAGAATCATGTACCTTCAGATTCCTTTGGACAGGAATACTCCAGGGAAGCTTTCTACCTTCCTTCCCAGTTACCAGTCAAAAGCTCCAGACTATCATGACTCAGATCAATCAAATTATATCTAGAATGCACACCCCCATTAGCATTAGTTAATCTGCTGTAACATTTGCCAAAACAGACTCTGCCTGATTTTTCTTACCTATTAAATCATAGCCCATTATTCTGCTAAGTCCTAATATAAAAAGATCAAGTCATCAAGTTTGCTAAAAAGGTACAAGATCAAGGACAACATGGACTGTAATATTTCCTTGTATTCCAGAGTTGAATAGAACACCTGTGGGGAACCCTTTTACTGATATTTAAGGATAGGTACAAAATTCCAACTGAATTACCAAGCAGCTAAATCAATATTAGACACTGATCCATAACAAGCTGTCTCTCAGATCTGTAGCCAAGAAATGAGTTGTCCCTTGAAATAACTGGTGAAGATAGTAGGATACAACGGCATTGCCAAAATCCAAAAAACATTTGAAACGCTGGTATTCCACAAAGCCCACGCCCACGTCAGTATTACTAAAACCTATTGGACAGTCTACAGAGAAACATATCTCTTGAAATTGGCTCAGAACAGTGAAACATGTGCAGACCGGTGAACTACAAGAAGAAACCACTTTTTTTTTAACACCAGTGAGATGGTTTTCTTCCACATGAGCAGCAAAATTTGCTAATTTAGTCATTTACACCTACATTGTGCACTACAACTTCAAGAACGGCTTCTTTATCCCTTCAAGGTTTACACAGAATCACACAGAGACACTTCCCACTAGACTATCACATGCAGCTCTTGCCCTTATTTGCAAAATAATTAGAATGATTTAGCACATTTTTATTTTTTTAAAAAAATGTACCCAGATTAATTACAGTAATAATGGTACACCTCTGTACAGTCCAATATTTGGTTATTAATTGCTCTTGTGTAGTTCGGTGTAAAATTAATTTAAAATAACTTCCATTAACAATTGTCTGAGAGGGTGCATATTACACTGGAATCAGGATGCTTTAAGGCAACTGCTCGTGAGTGGATGAGAACATGTGACATTTAAAGAAAACCTAAAGCTGTCTGTTTTAATTCACTATTGATTTGACGTAATAAAAAAAACAAGCATGAAGAATGTTGCTGTGATGCAGGATCCAGCTCTGTGCGATGTTGCATTAAACACAGTTAAACAAATATAAAACAAATTCATAGACAATGGCGAGCATGCTATCAATGACTAGCGCCAGACAGAAAAGCCATCAGAGCTGAGCTAAGTCTGATCTGCCCCTAGTAAAAGCCTTACAATTGTAAAATCATGCTGAAAATCATTCTACAGTTATAAAACATAGCACCTAAAAGTATCTTTAAATCAGAAGCTGTGGTTAACACTGTAACTCAGATGAAAAGTCAACAAACTCACTATAGTCTTCTTCCACCTTTAGTAATGTAGAAAAACCTTACATTTATCATCGACATGAAGTATTCTTTAGCACATCCACATAATTAATTCATTTTGTTGAGGTCCATTAATCTCTCATGTTCATCACTCATCCAACAGCTTGGCGCCATCAGCAAGTTTTATATTTCAGGATGTCCCAAATCTACATCCTTTATAAAACACACTTCATTCTAATAGAGGGATCCAAAATAATGGGACATAAAATAATTAGCTTAAAATTAGAGCTACACTGTTCAGAAGTAAGTTCAGAACAAATTGCTTCATACAAAGTGGTGAGAATATGGAACACACAACACAGAAAGTTTTAGATGCTGAATTGATTGGGATGTTTGAAAGATACAACAACAATTTGCACTTATATAGCACTCTCCATGCAGGGTAGCGACTCAGTGGCGGAGCCTGACTCCAAGCCAGGGAGGTGGGGAGATGACCGAAAGCACGGTCGAAGAGGAAGGTTTTAGGGCGGGACTTGAAAAGGAGGAGAGAGGGGCAAGGTGGAGGGATTGAGGGAGAGTGTTCCAGAGTTTCGGGGAATAGTGGCTGAAAGTGAGACCTCTGATGGTGGGGCAGAGGGTGCAAGGGACAAGCAGGAGGTCAGTGCCCGTCGAGCAAAGGCCGGCTGGGTGGTGGATTGGGGAGTGAGGAGGTTGGAGAGAGATAGGGAAGTGCCAGAGAGTGAAGGGATTTGAACACAAGTTGAGGATCTTGAAGTCGATCCATTTGGTGATGGGGGCCAGTGGAGCCTGGCCACAACTAGTGAAATGTGGGTATGGATCCATGTAAGTATGTGGGCAGCAGAGTTCTGAATGAGCCTGGTCTTTTGAATAGAGGAGCTGGGGAGACCAGCGAGGAGTGCGTTTGATAATCCATGTGGGAGGTGACACACACATGCATGAGGATTTCTTTCAGCTGCATTTGGGGTAAGGTATGGTCAGAGGCGGGTAATGTGGCGTAGGTGGAAGAAGGCAGTCCTGGTCAGGGACCAGATGAGGGGGAGGAAGAAGAGCTGGGGGTTGAACCGGACGCATAGATTACTGGTTCAGTGAGTGTGAGGTAGCGCCCAGGGAGGTTAAGGAGTTCAGATTCAGAGTTCAGAACAGGTACAAAATGGGATTAAAAGATCTGCTATGATATTATAAAATGGTGGAGCAGACTATGAGCTGAATGATCTCTTCCTGTTTCTATGCTGCTGCATAACAAAAACACACCTAGAATAGATGCCTGTGAAATTGCTACTTAAGTAGAACTTGTTGCATTTATCATCATGCTGATTTTGACTGCTAAGCAACTTTCCAATTAGCTGTTTTGCCATCAATTTGTCAAATTGAATTATACTGAATATTCATCAAATACCTTCTGGAAATCCAAATAAACTACCCAGCGGTTGCCCTGATCAACCAATTTAGTTGCTGCCTCAAAGAATTCCAGTAGTCTCGCCAAGCATGACTTATTACTTCTAAATCCAAGCTGACCGCTCTTTATGCTCTCTTTTCATGAATTTTGACAGCATATTGTAAATGCTCAAGCATTTTTCCCGGCAGAATCATAGACCTGAAAGTTTCACAATGGTAGCTACAGATTGACCATTGGCCATCCTATTAAAATCACAGAAGATGCAACACTGCAACACTTGATTTGTTTTGAGGTTGAATTTTACGAGTGTTCTAATCTCACAAGTAAAATAGGACACTGTAACATTTTCAGGCAGGAGTAGGTCTTTGGTCTACCAACCATTCAATTTCCAACAGGATTTTATCAATGTATCTAATAACTGAATCTCTGAATTTAAGAGTTCCCGTTTGAATTTTCTTATTCCAGTGCTTGTAATATGCGTTTATTCCACATGCCTATTACCCTTTTACTCTAAACATTTTCCTGATTTCTTATTCTTTTTGATGCCTATATTTTGAAGATATATTGGAGCATGTTATGCAATAGTGGGGGTGGAGCAGGGGGTGGGTTTCATAACATCCCGCACACTATAATGAGACCTTGACTGCAGTTTTCACCGGTGCAACAGGCTGACTCATTTCCCAAGTGAGTTCCCAGTTCCAGTTCTACAAAATAGGCTAACTTCCAGATATCAGGTCACTGCCAACATCACTTCCTGTGTGTGCAAAGCAGAAAGCAACATTGGTGCCTATCTGGTGACCACAATTCAGCCGTCTTAGCATGAAAGGTTGCTGCCACGCAGGAAGTGCCCAGGTCAGCTGAGTGCATGAGGTCCACACTACAACCAGTATAACCAAATCAGTGAAGTAAAGGAGCAAGTTTGGACAGGGTCGCAATGTAGTACTTTAGTTTGTGTCTGCATATGTACCCTGCTGAGGGCTGCTCTAGAAGTTTCAGCACCGCTAATCACACAGCCAAATCACATAGTAATGCTACAAGAACGGCGGTGCACAGATGTGCTCACCAGATGATGATATGAATAGTTAATGAATAAAAGTGTTTTAGAGGCAGGATAACACTATAACTCTTCCAAGGTTAAATACTGATTGAATCTTGCATTTATTCGGTCTGTTGCCCTCAGTGCACTGTTGTATTTACCATTTATTAAATTTTGAGGTTGAATTTTCCAATCATCAGTGGCTTAAAGAATAAGTAAATCCAGGCAGTATACAATGGTAGCACATACACCATCTCACATTCATGACAATAGTGACTGCCCTGTCACTGACTGCAGGATGGTGAATGAAACACAGAGTCAGAGATGCACTTTCCCTCAGAGAGTCAAAACAAAAATTAATTCACTCTACAAAGCGGAACTGGAGCTTTTATTTTATTACCAACTCGCTCAAGCTAATTTCTCTACAGTGAAGTTCATTCAATAAAACAGGACCATTAGCTTCTCAGTTGTGTTGAGGGCAATGGTTTCCTTGATCAATAGACCGCCAACAGATAAGCAGAACAAAAGGAAGGCTCTACTGTTTTTATTGCCAGGCCCCTAGACAAACAAGCTTGTAAATGTATCATCATGCCATCTTACCGTGTCATTTCATCATCGCCCATGAGTTTAGTAATCGGTGAGTATCTGCCCGGCGATGATGGAGGAAGTGTTTGTTTATATTCTGAGTTTCCTAAGTAGTTGGACGGCGTGATATGGTTTTCCATTTGGGAATAGGCTGAAAGAATACACAAGATGTTAATGAGAATTATTTTTCAACCATCTTCATAATTTCTCTGTAGCAGATTAAAATTAAGGCACATTTTTAGATTATAAAACTGCAAACCGAGGAGGAACATTTGTGCAAAGAATAATGAATACTGTGAAGGGCATTACAAGCTGGAATCTAATAGATTGCATAATGTGTGGCAATTGAGGATTCAAATGGTTTAATGGACATTTAGGAATCATAAGGCTATAATTTCAGCAAAGCTGTTTAAAGAATCGAGGCAGAGAGTGAAATGAGAGATTTATTAATGTCTTCAGAAATGCAATGTAATTTTGGCCTTAGGTTCTCTTGTAGGGATTTTGTTATTTGAGATAATGTGTCTCAGGCACTAATGTGACTCAAATGCAAACACCTTTGTGCCTTGGGACATCCTCCTGACGTGAAAGGAGTTATAGTCTGTGAAGCGCTTTGAGACAACTTGAAGACATGATAAGGCACCATAGCAAATGTAAGGATTATTATTATACAAATATTGTTGTTGATTCAGAAGGCTGAAATTTAAATTCCCACATTGGGACTTCAGTTCAGTCTAGGCTGACTCTTCAGTGCAGTAATGGGAGAGCACTGCATTGTAGAAGGTGTGGTCCTTCAGATGAGCCATTAAACTGAGATCTGGTCTGTTGGACAATAAAAATTCCATGGCTATTGAAAAGAGATCAGATTTTTTTCCTTGAATCCTGGCCAACGATCCTCTTAGGTAAATGAGTCATGGTTAATTGTAGGACTGTGCTATGTGCAAATCGGCCACTACATTTGACTCCAAGGCAGTCAGCACACTTTATAGCTGTTACAGTAAAGCGCTTTGAGGTTTATTTGTTGATGTCATAAAAATGTCGCAAAATACTTCACAGGTATTTTTAACTGCAAAGTGTAGTGCTTATATATTTGCGTAGGTGAGTGAGGCAAACAATTTGTACACAGCAATGTCTATACCAATGACCAATTACTTGGGAGTTGTTGTCCAGGATTATTGGCTTGAACAACAGGAGAAACTCCCTTCTCTCTTTGAATAGAGTCATAGGATTTTTAACATACATCTCAGCAGGCAGGTGAGAGTTTGGTTTTAATGTCTCATCTGAAGGACAGCTTTTTAGAGGTAGCCTAGATTAAAATCGGGGTTTCAACTCACAACCTCAACTCAGAGGTGAGAGCTCTACCAACTGAGCCAGGCTTACATCTTCAATTATTAAATAATCATTGTCACGGACAACACAAACAGATCAGATATTTCTATTTTAAATACAGGAGTGTTCAGCTATTGTGAATTAAACTCAGTTAATGGAGAAAGAATGCCTCATTCCTATTCTACTCTATTACCCTGCTGCTGCACTTACTTGGTCCCAAGAGAGCACCATATTCTGCCTCAGGAAGCAACAACCTCTAACTCTCGCCACAATGAGGTGGCTTTTGCATTGCCAGCCAGCCCTGGGGATTGGGGAAAGTCCTCAGTCAAGAGTGGTCATGATGCACATCAGCTACGATATGAACTTGCACGTCAGCTATGATAGCCTTGGATTAACTCAAAAGTGGCTTTAATCACTCAAGGTTAATTTAAATTATTTATAAACTGAGAAAGGAATGCAGATATTCCATCACTCACACACTTAGTTCAAATCGGTTTCGTTTCAGGGAAGAAATGCCACAACAATCGGGTTAATTGTGTCATCGATCTCCCATCACACAATGAATCCCTTTGAACAGAAATGAGCAGCAATGAGACTGAACAATATGCTTAAATCTAACCCTGCTGCTGACGCGGTCACAAACTGATCATGGTTGCATTAACTCAATTTTAAAAAAATCCAATAATCCCTTTCCCCGATCAGCACAAATCATTCAGGTGCTTTCAGAAAACCACCTTCTGCAGATTGTTGCTTTGCCCAATCCTACTCGTCCCAATCTGCATTCACATCATGAGTCTAATATTTACTGTCCACGTACAGACTCCCTAGAATAGGTTTGTTCAAACTTAACACACAGGACTGCGGCTACAAAAGATTTAAAATCCTATACATGAGGAAGGAACAGTGTAAGATCACCATTACTAGAGACAGGTAACAATATCCTACAAACCTATTTGTTTCACATCATTCATTAATGAAACATTTGCAATGTATTAAGCATCTCACTTGCTCACTCTATCCTGATTAACCATGGCAAGTCAGTGGACATACTCATGGATTCTGATGCACTGCAACTTAAGCCATTTATAAGCTTAACTATTAACATAATTAACATAATCCAACATAACAATATTAGTTCAACATCCCAACTAATATTTAAACGGCTGTGCCACAAAACAGACAAACAAGATATGTTGCTCAAAGAGATGCCGAGTATTTCACAACTTAATCATTAAGTAAAATATGAAATATTTCAATGTCAAAGATCAACAATGGTAATGAATGATGTGACTGTCAAACTCAAGTTAGCTTCAACTGCATAAACTAACTGATCACACCCTCTCTCTCCTCATTCACCTCCCACAACCTTGTGTATTCCTCTCATCTATGGCATGACGATGGTTACCTGAAATATTTCAGGAGACTTAAGTGGAGAAGGAAATTAGTTTCACAGAAATACAAAATAAGAATGCATCCAGTTGGCATTAAGGCAAGAGTCAGAAGAGGAAAAATAACATTCTCAAGTCCAAATGGTTTTGCAGTGGGGTAGGGAAGGGGACATGGAGGAAGTGAGGTAGGGAGAGAGAAAAGAGAAGGTGGGGGCTGATAGGTACACTACAATCAACCCAACTGTTCCCAATGTTCTTTTCAATACAGCACATTTTCCAGAGGCTACTGGGTAGCAATCAGTAGCAGAAAAATTCGGCTGATTTTCTCCTCAGGCCACTGAGGTCAGTTGTAGTATACCCCACATTTAAAATCAACTGCATTAGCACAGACCAGGGATCAAACACTGTATTTTTCTAGTGAGTATACCTCAGCACAGCAGCATGCAGTACAATTATCCACAGAACTGTCGGAGAACTTAAAAATAAGTGCTTGGTGTTTATATGTAACTGAAAAAAATTATTAAAGGGCACACGCCTGGCAGTGTCTAATCTCTCCTCAGCGTGAAGGAAGAGAGGATTAGTGAACTGAGGGATTTTTAATTAAGAAACAAAATGCATACTTTTTAATGCTAGAGTGAATAAATGCATTTATTTCCAGCATTCAACCATATCTAATGGCTCTGTGGCTGAAGGACAGCTGGGGAAGTTAATCAATGTTTTGTATCATTAAATAAATACTCTGGTTCAGCATTGTGCCAGTGTTAATGGTTGGAACGCTTCAGTCATCCTGTCACTGTGGTTAGGGCTCGGGTCAAGACTAGGGCTCAGGTTTATCAGTCTGTAACACGTTGACGGTTTTCATCCCTACTGTATGAGATGAGGAATGGAATGCAACCTTTGTGATTTCTGCCCATTTCTCATCTTTTAAATGCTGGATGTTTTTTTTATATATGTGCGTGTGTGTTTGTGGGGGGGGGGGAGCAAACGAATATTGTTAGATTGAAACACAACGTCTGAATGGCCTACTTCTATCCCATACAATTTTTTCATTCTACTGTGGGAAGCCTGACCCTGTATTCAAGAACTGCATAAACCTTTGCCAACTTTCCCTCCCATTACTCCTTATATGAGAAATCTTTGCCTGGAGCCAGAGCTCCCTGCACTATAGAGCTTCTTGGTGCAGTGAGAGTCACAAAACGTGAATCTCTTTTGCTATTTTATCGTCACCTTTGGTGCTTTGTGCAAATCCTTTCAGGATGTTTTAGCATTTATTTCTGATGTACATCCTTGACATTATATATCATATATAATAATAATAATCCTTACATTTGATATAACGCTTTTCACGTCTTCTAGACATCTCAAAGCGCTTCACAGAATACGCTGCAAAGTGAATTGACCGTATATTTGTGGGTGAAACGCCACAGCCAATTGTGCACAGCAGTGTCCCACAAACAGTCACGGATTTAAAATGACCAATTTATTATTGTTTTTGTTTTGGAGGGATTATTATTAGGCGTGTGAGTAAGGAAACTTGCCCAAGGTTTCACCCTGGCTGGAATTAAACACAGGTGTCTCACTTACAAGGCGAGTGCTCTAACCACTGAGCTGCAGGACTCCACTATAGTGTGGACTTCTCAGGTTACTGTTCCTACTGTGAGTATTAAGAGTTCTCCTCTGGAGATTGAGGTCAGTGGCCCTGTGTAAAAGAACTGTCAATATTTCAGTTAACACTGACAACCAATGGCATCAATCTGAGCAACATGTATAAGAACTCTGGCATCTCATCTATAATGAAACCAAATGTCAAGCTTATTTTTGCAGGTAAAGTTACCATCTTGAAAAACAAAGTGGGCAGAAACACAAGGCATGAATTTTACAAGGTTTCTATGCTTTGCAGTTGTCAAAAATATTCTGAGAACACAGGAATTATATCCATTTCTACAGACATTGAGTGGTTCTGAAAGGATTTAACGAGCATTTTTTAATTCTAATTCTTATGTTTCCGAGTGTCATATTCAAGTCACAAAAATCAGATGCGCAACTGAGATGTTACAATCGTACATTAAATTATCTGTACTGAAAGAGTTAACTACTGTGATTTCCTATCCTCTAGAATTTGGATAAAATGTGACCATCGAAGACAGAGAGTCCAATTTCAACACATTAAATGCGCTTTACTCTGAAGGTCAAAATGCCCTCAAAGTCCTAAATCACTACATTTCTCTCTGGTTCATTCCAGTTACAATGTTCTTTCAAAAAAAGGAAAGTAAATTCTTCATTCAAATTCTCTAGTTTCTTGTGCAGTCTCTAATCAATTCATCAGGCAGTGTTTGGGAGGAGACTACAAGCATACCTAATCAGTAGGGCTTGAAACTCAATGCAGTCCTCTTATCCCCTCACTCTCTTTGTCCAACAAAATCAGCAACAGATCGATGAAGTGCATTTGTGGTTAATGAGATACAAAAAGCCAACTGACTTACGAGTCAGCAGACTGATAATGCAAACTCTTTTTTATTGCCAAATGATAAAACTGGTTTATTTATAGTTTTTTTTTCCTATCACAACAGACTCCTTATTGCCAAGTAGTTGCAATATTAGAAAACAAGTATCGAACTCACTTAAATTTTAGTTGATAGCACTCGCCTCTGAATCAAAAGGATTCTCCCTCTGGAACAGTCCCTCCGTCTCGCCTCCTTCCCTTGCCTCTTTCAAGACCTTCCTCTTCGACCATGCCTTTAGTTGACCTCCTCCCCCCCATCCCCACCCTCTTCGATCCCAAAATACTGATAGGCCAGCGCCTTGGGACGTCCTCCCGACGCGAAAGGCGCTATACAAATTTTGTTGTTGTGGGTTCGAGCAACATGCCGGGACTTGGAACTCAGTCCAGGCTGACAGACTCTCCTTTGATAGGAGCCCCGCAAAACAATCATCCGGTTCCTCAGAAAGGGCAGATATTTGATATAAGTATAAAGCTTCAGCTATATATGCGTGTGTGTATATGTGTGTATATATATTTATACACACACACGCATACACAGACACACACATTTGATATGTGTATAAAGCTTCAGGAGCACCAACAGACTACTGAAGCAATTTAGTTTCTCAACAGTATAATCCACCCATGACTTGGACCCGTCTGGGTACGTGATAAATTAGAATAATCAATGAGTAAATATTACCCAGTGCACTTAATATGCTGCCATCCCCCATTGGTGATGTCTTGCATAACATCATGCTATCCAAAGCACTGAATTTTGGACAATTCTTTTACAACAATATGGATTTCTTACATGTAAAGAAGCTTTTTGTTACTTGGTCTGCACGCAGAATATGGCTAAGAGAATAAGTAAAGGAAGCTGGTAGCCCATAGTTCATAACATTGCTTTTTAAATTAAAACCAAAAAATCCTGTCCGACCTTAAACTTACAGACTTACATATCTGTGGTTCTGGGCCTTGCTCTTAATACGACATCTTACATTGACACAGTGCCTTTCGTAGAAGGAATGCACTTCACTGAGTGAAAATAATTTGAAATGAAGTGAATGCTATGTAGGAGGATAGCATTGACCACTGATACTATTACAAGCAGTGATATTATTAAGGGATGATGAAATACTTAACAAATTATAATTAGCAACAAAATTCAGGTTGCAGGCTTGCAGCTGGGTGTTCCTGACAGACTTACAGTTGGTGATATCTGGAGGGGCATATCCATCATTCATGTACATGCTGGTTGGCTTAGCGACCTTCAAGTACACCACCTCCGCTGTGTTTTTCAAAGCTGTCACCGCATCTTCGTGGGTAACTTCATCCAGATTGGCAGCATTCACCTCAAATACAAGAAAGGCAACACAGTAAGATTGAGTATATCACCTAAAAATGCATAGGTAGATGCGAGCCATCTGTGACCATGAGATAAATACAACGGCAGTCTAGGAGAACACCTGGCAGTAAGACGTTTCAATGGCATATGCCAATTACATAGGAGACAGCTAATATTCCAGTAGTTAATAACATGCAAAGTGGCCATTTATTTTTCTCGTGGAACGACACTGAACAACAGCTTTAATTTATGGTTCAATCAGATCAGTACTAAAAACGGAAAATGACTTTAACACTCGTAATCTGCTGGGTTATTGGAATTCCATGGTAGTTTATTAATAGGATTTGAAATCACTTCAGAACAAATCAAAGAACCTCGTTAAGCCATGATGGACCTGTTCCCCCACTCGTTCTCACCTCCCTGGAGACACTCAATCCGTGCAAACTCCACTCGGAAGTAGAACTGGATTGGTACATGGGCGGACGTTTAGAATGCATGCAAGCAGGGATAAACAACAATGTGCATTTATATAGTGCCCTTCACACGGGGTAACGTTTCACAGAACATTTCCTCTCGACAAATTTGCAGGATTAAAACTTCAGGATTCAGCACGAGTGTTGTGACCAAGGATGCCGATGGTGGAGATTTTTTGGAAGGTTGCCCGAAAGAGACCCTTCTCCTCCCTCCGAACTCCTTCTGATGGTGAGAATATTCAGTGTGGGCATCTCTTTTTTTTTGGAAATGTGCTTGAAAGGAGAGTGAACTCTCCCTGTTACCTCCTGCAGAATACCCAAGACAAGTAAACGCATCATCCCATGGCATTCTTGAGCATACAATGGTCCATTTTAGAGTGTGCAGATAAGTGGTTCAACCAGCACTGACATATCGGGGGTCCAAGATTCAACCTAATCTCATTAAAATACTGATGGAAAGGGAATGCTACAATTAATAAAAAATGGAGCACATGCTTGGAACTTACTGCCAGAATCTTGTCCCCTATCTGGAGACGACCATCTTTGTGCGCTGCTCCTCCTTCTATAATTTTGGTTACATAGATGCTGTTATCTCCTGGAATGTGTTGGTTTCCAACACCTCCAGCTATGCTGAACCCCAGACCTGTTTTTTTTTGATAAAGGAAAATGAAACATAACATTTAAATATGGCATTGTTAACAGTATTAAACATATTGCTCCCAACTTAAAATTTTATTTTACCAGAGCAAGTTAACACATTTTTGCTAAATACGCAGCACTCTCTAACAAGATCGCAGGATGCCAGGTGTTTCAATGTTTTATGACAAGGTTTGTGCCACAGTTAATATCCCAATTAACGTGAAAATTCAACAACTAAAGTCCAGAGCGGAAATGATGGGTGGGAGGAGTGCAATAGATATTAAATAGACAGAAAACAGAAAGACAGATGTTAAATTTAGCTGCTAAATGAGATGAGTCTTTCCTCCTCCCACCCCCAGAACAGGAAGACAAGCTTTGGTTTCATGCGGAGCTTGGCTTTAATGGGTGGCACATTCAGGTACTCCTAAATGAAGTGCAAATCTGAAGGATGCAAATCAAAATATCAAGATGGTATAGTTCACACCCATGATCTCTCGTGTGAGTGAAAGCACTTCAATTATAAGGTGCTTTCACCTGCACTCAGCAAAAGGCATCCAATTTTGTTGTATATATTTCAGATGGTTTAGATTATGGTTTCACGTAGTATAATGGGTTCAAATAGACATTTCAGGGAAGATTACAGCAACTAACAAGTGGGGCTTAAATAGCCTTGAGCTTGTCACCATTTTGTTATTAATATTTATTTTATATTACTGTGGAACCCTTTTTATCTATCAAATTCAATTATTTCCAGGTAATGGGATTTCTTCATTTTGACGGATACTGGTGGTTTTACAGCAGTTGTGTTTGACAGACAACAGTATAGAAAAGGCAGCTGTACCGACTGCTATGAGTTCAGAGTCACAATGGTATCCAAGGAGAAGAATAAACCCAAGGGATGTGATGGTGGAATCTACTAGTTAGGATTTAGTCTACAATGTTTCTTCACAGGTCATTTAGTTCTGTGATGCAGTAGTTTACTGAGAAGTCTAGTGGTACGTAGGGAATTGAATACAAATAACCCAATGACAACTCATTTTGCTTCACTTGCCTCCACTGCTACCACATGCATTGGAACACATTTGATCAGCTCAACAAATTGGCATATAAAAGATAGTCTTCTAACAAGGTTTAATATTGTGTTTATTGGGGAGAATTCTGTTTGGTCTGTCCAATCAATAAACTTATAAACTTAATCTTTTGGGAACTTCGGAATGTAGAAGTGTTACACTAAACAAAACTTGTGTAAATACAGCAAAAGTGCTACATACCTTTTGGTCCTTTGACGAGTTTTATTTCTAAGATTTTTTCTGTGATTGGTTTTCTTCTCCGCACATAGAGCCTCACGACCCATCCGGCCTCTTTCAGAGCTTCTACTGCTTTGCTGTGCGTTACTTCCCGTACATCCACCTCATTTACCCTCAGGATGCAGTCATTAACTCTGAAATTAGAACCATAATTTGTCACACTCAAATAGACTTTAAATCGTCAAAGGTGCTGAGAGTTTTTTTTAAACAGTGGACACTCATTAGAGTAACCCTGTTCCTATTCACAAGGAGCCCGAAAATGTAAGACATTAAATAGCAATTTTATTCACAAAAACTATAAAGGCAGCTGAAGTGTGAAACGGAGCATTCATACAGGTAGATCAGCAGTAGAAGGTAAATGTGTATTTAATCTTTGCTATCCCTGACCTAATAAAGATTGGTCCTGACACAAAGTGGGTGGCCGGGGATGCTCAGAACTCTTCAGTTTTCCTGGCGTGACAACTCATTTAGAAAGGGAATAACTATTTGCTGATGGTTTGGAAACGTACCTCAAATGAGCCGTGGAAAATATCAGCCACAGCTCCTCTTACAGATCCTCATTCCCGTAAGTACTCCTGGATGAGTTTCATCTGGTCCAGTTGCTTTACATTCAAGCATTTGAGANTTTTTTGTAATAATAATAATCCTTGCATTTGATATAGCGCTTTTCACATCGGGAGGATGTCCCAAAGCGCTTCACGGAACACACTGTAAAGTGAATTGACTGTATATTTGTGGGCGAACGCGGCAGCCAATTGCGCACAGCAATGTCCCACAAACAGTCGTAGATTGAAAATGACCAATTTATTATTGTTTTGGGTATGGAGGGATTATTATTAGGCTCTGTGTGGAGTAAGGAAACTTGCCCAAGGTTTCGCCCTCTGCCTGGAATTGAACTCAGGTCTCTCGCTTGCAAAGCGAGTGCTCTAACCACTGAGCTACAGGACTCCACAAATATAATGACTATTTCATTAATAATCTCTTCTCCATTAACTCAGATGCATTTCCTTCTCCTCTGACTGTCAAGCATTGCTTTCCACATTATAAACCATCGAAGATGAAGAGGTTTTCTCTTCGCTGTTTCACATTTATAAAAAGGCCCTACTCCTCAATACTCTTTCTATTGTCAAGATATCTAAAACACAATTGATTTTTCTATCTAAAAACATTTTACCCATTAGATTCTGCCCATTAGTGTCCATTTTCCCCATTAATGTCTTTCCATCGTCAAATGTCTTCAAATTTCTTAATGCTTTGCATGAATCACTGTGCTGATAAAAAATGAGGGATTTCAGCATTGAGCAGATGGGTTGGGACTACAATTCAAAACAATTCACATTTGCAAGAGAACTAACTCACAAATAGGGAGAAGGTAAATTTATTTCACGTTTGGAAAATCAACAAAAAGAAAATCTACAACTAGCTCTTTTAAAAAAAAAGACACTTGGTCAAAAACAATTTGTTTAAAGATATGGCCCCTTTTTGCAACTTCGAGATCCTGCCTCTGTAGCCAGCCTGGTGGTGCTGTAGTATATATGGGGCTCCATCAGATGGGGGTGTCCAGTCGCTTTCTCTACATATATGGTACCATCACTCTTCCTTTTCTCTTTTCCTGTTTATATTCACGAAATTCCTCTTGGTGATTGTTTATGAGCTCAGACAACAAAAACTTCTCAAATTGATGCTTGGTATATAATAAATCAACTAATAGCTAAGAGGTTACATTTACAGATTTCACTCTTCATTTTAAAATCAGCAAAAAGGGTCTTATCAGTTTCTCCTGAAAGGCCTTTGAAAGACGTTTCTGGATTCTTTCCTAGGCCTCCAAATTAGTCTGAAAGGTCAATGGCCAGTTTGCAAAAGGGGAGACAGAAGAAGCTGATTATGATGGAGGGGAGACAGAAGCAACAGATTATGATGGGACATACCGCAGTCTTCCATCCTGTGCAGCTGCACCTCCTGCAATGATTTTCGTGATGAATATGCTCGGATCATCGCCAATGTGGGGATTATCGGTCCCACCCGCGATGCTGAAACCAAGGCCAGAATTTCCCTATTGCAAGAACATAAGGAGAAAATTAGACACAATTCGAATTTAGAGCATTTCTGAGAAATTAATGCAAGATTGGCAGTGCTGAGCAAGGCTTATTATATTATATATAAACACAGCAGTCGCTGGGAACACACGGCAGGTCAGGCAGCATCCATGGAGAGAAGAAAATTAGTTAACATTTCAGATCAATAACCTTTCATCTGAAATATAATAATAAAGCTTATTATATTATGCTTTCCACGGTTTCCGCTGGCTTGCATGTAAAACAGCAAGTTGAACTAAAACGCAAAACTTTACCAACAAGTCAGAAATCATGGCACATTGAAGGGATATGGATTTACAGACACCCAACCGCCTACCTAGTTGTGGCCAAGGTATCAAGAGAGGTGCTAAGCGGAGTTTGAATTCTTATTACTGGAGACAAAGTTTTGAGCCCTGTTTACCCATCGAGAATCCAAAACAGCTCTGACAAAGATCAGGGAAAAGGCCATACCTCTCTCAACCTCCCAAGATGTGGGATGCTAGAACCCGAACATGGAATAAGTTAAGAAATAATCAAAAAAATGGCTGGTGAGTGAGTCAATTAATCATCGTCATCAGAACCATATGGCCCATCTACAAACATACGATATGGTGAGCTGCAGACTGCTCTTTTTGAATCTCCTATTATATGGATTCCGCCGACAGTTGCTGGTGAAAAGTTGTTCCACAAGAATTAGGCACGCTATTTCACCGTCCTCTCCTCCTCAAACCATTTGGTACAGCAAAGCCAGCTAATCAAGCTCTCTCCTCCCGCAGAGAGGAGCATTAATGCATTAGAGGTCCTGACTACTGTTAATTATATTACTGGGTTCAACAGCAGTGAGTAACAATTGTCCCAAGTATTCCATCTAAATAATTAAAATAAAATTTCAATTCCATGATGCCAATAAAGCACCGCATTCAAAGATAATGTGGTACAGAACTTTACACTGGCTACTTACAAGAATCATTTTAAATTGAAAACATAAAATTACCCCTCAATATTCCTCATGCAGTTCACCTGCTAGATGAATAGTGTGTACCATTATCCGAAGGCTTCCCAGCCATTTACAAATACATTTTGCAGACTCATTGAAGGGTTAACACCAGGTGGTTCTTTATTCATAAATCCCAAATCACTCTGTTCAAACATGCAAAGCTGAATTGAATGAGGCTCAAAATAATTATCAGTTCGGACACAGCCAAGGACATTGAGGAATGAGATATCCATCTCAATTTTCAGCACAAAGCATGTAAAAAAACACCAAAAAGGCAAAGTGAGTTTCCTTTCATTTCCACTAATAGAGTGACGTTGCAGATGTCACAAATACAATGAGTCGGTGATCAGTTAAAAAATATAATTAGTGAAATAGATTGCTAACTAAGGAGGATCTTTGTGATTATTATATCAATAGCGTCATTGACACTTAAAGTAGTCTCACTATGACTACAAAGAGAAGGGAAGTTGGAGAAAAGCCCTTTAAAGATGTATTGATGCCCTAAGTACATACACTGCACCCTTCTCATGTCATGAATAAGTAGCCAGCAACCTTTAGCACTTTTACCCAAGGAGACTAAAGCCCTGACAGCTCTAAATCTAAGCAACGTAACAGCAGTTTTGTTTGCATAAGTAGTCACAAATATAAACCAAAGATGACAGATGTATAAACCAAAGATGAGGATGAAGCTGAACAGGTAGTAAAAATGTGCACATCTCACAGAATTTTTCTTTTAGAAAAGGTTAACAAATCCAAGTTCGATATCAGTCATCAACAATAATTTAAATTTATATAGCACCCTTCACACAGGTTAACGCCTCAGAAGGCTTATCGTAGTGGATAAACAAGAAATAAGACATGTGCATCAGCTCCAGTCGAGGCTGAATGGGAGCCCATGGTCTTATTTGCCTTGATCAGACTCCAACTGGCACAGCCTTGATCAGCTGTGTTCTGCTATTCACTGGTGCAATACCAAAATAAAACCTAATTCTTCTGTCCATCTGGGGGTAGAGTGTTTTAGCTGCAACAATTTGTCTACACAAATGCGTGGGTTTCAGTAACCAAAGATGATCCTGGGTCTAGACTCCAGCTATTACCATTAAAATACTGAAAGTAATTCTGATAAGAATTTTGAATTACACATCAATGATCGAACGAAGGAGGACATTTGGTTTTGGCATTGTTGATCAATGTCTAAATGCTGCTAATAGACATAGTATTTCTAAGACTACTTAAGGACTTAAAGTGGTATAAGAAAAACTAGGCCAATGGAATAAAATACGGCTTCAATGCAAATTGACTGAACAATGCTTCTGAAAATGTGAGATGTTGAAGGAAACAAAAATAATTCTCACCCTTTCAAGCGTGATTTCTTCATATTCATAATCCACATCTGTGCCATTTACCTGCAAACAAAACAAGGAGACAGAAAAATGGTAATTTAGAAAAGTACTTCCTCAGAGATTGTAGCGGTATAGGAAAGAAAGCATGTTGCATATTATAAAAAATACAGAAACCCTCAAGCAGGAACACTGCGGTGAATTATGATCAATGCCATGTGGGATATGGGCCTTGGCCCTCATATAATAATAATAATCCTTGCATTTGATATAGCGCTTTTCACGTCGGGAGGACGTCCCAAAGCGCTTCACAGAATACACTGTAAAGTGAATTGACTGTATATTTGTGGGCAAACGCGGCAGCCAATTGCGCACAGCAATCTCCCACAAACAGTCGTAGATTGAAAATGACCAATTTATCATTGTTTTCAGTTTTGGAGGGATTATTATTAGGCGTGTGGAGTAAGGAAACTTGCCCAAGGTTTCGCCCTGCCTGGAATTGAACTCAGGTCTCTCACTTGCAAAGCGAGTGCTCTAACCACTGAGCCACAGGACTCCACAATTGTCTGTAGATCACACGTAAACTTGTCCGTTATTCCTAAAAGCTATTATTTTTCATCACTGCCATTTTGGGTGTTGTAGACCTGCTGCAAAAGAGCAGCTGATGTTAGCCCAATCCAAAATTTCAAATCACCAGTGGAGGAGCTGAAGGTCACATCTTTAGATGGCAAGGTACAACTAAAGGTCTGCTGTAAACACAGATTATCACACCGTACCATTTCCTATTTGGAACACTAAAACTTATTAATTTGAAGGCATAAAGCATGCAGGCCAGCAAACTCGTTTTTGCATTTGATGCTTTGTCTCTCAAGCTAAGGATGTCAGTGTGGGACATTGGACACATTTGGACTCCATGCCGCATGAAGTGCAGTACTGTATGGAGTAAATGAACAATGAAACTCCCTTCACTCAACCTCCTAAGACTACCCTTTGGTGCATCAAAACTTATCTTCAATTGATAAAGCACCCAGTGGAAATATGAAACCTAAAAATTGTAAACTTATATTGCAACTGCATACAGCATTTTGACCTACAAAATGGATGGTGTGGATCATACATAAGTTCAGTCTTTTGTAATCCAATGTGTACTGTGTGACCAGTGCTGTGGACCGTAGATTTGATAGTGCTTCTAATTCCGCAGAGAAGTGGTAGACTCCTAAAGCCCAATTACTGCAAGATTAATCACAGCAGCTGCTAAGCAATTCAATAAAGTCAAGAGGTCAAATGAGAAAAAAAGCACATTGCAGATGATCGTAATGTACAGCAAGCAATCAACTGTATAAATGTCAAGTCCCTCTCGTCGAGTACTGCCATGTACATCAGTGACAGCAGAAGCTCCATCTACATTGCAGAGAAGCAAACAGTCGAGGACAGCGCAGGTTGTGTTCTGTTGCAACAGCATTACTCTTGGTGCAGAAACAGTTATGGCCCCTACCGGGGTGCCAGTGCTAGTTTTTTTTGTCCCAAAAGGGACAACCTTAATCACGCCATATAACCCGGCTTCTAAAACATTTTAATTAAACTACTACACGGTTGTTCAAGGAACTAGCTGAATAAACGTTTCACTACAAACCTGTAGAGTGGCAGCAAAGTTCATGTTTATTAAATAGTGTTCATGTCAATTACCCCACGTCATCGAGTGCTGCAGTGTTTAACATTTTGCTAAACCAGCTCCAATGGGAATTTCATAGCCAGTTTAAAACTTTTCCAAAATCTCATTTCACTTCAATTATTCAGCAGTGCAAAATAACAATGGGATTTAGAGGCAACTTGGCCCAACATCATGGCAACTGACCCAGACTCCCAGTACTGAGTACACTTGGTCAAGCCATTCAGAGATAATTAAGGCAGATGCTCATTTTGATAATTCTGCTGGAGAGCTTTTGAGTGTCGAGTACCTACAAATACACACTACCTAGAGAGACAACTAGCACTGTAGTGTCATATCATTAATTCAGCAATTTGATTTTCAAGTTGGATTTGACTGAAATTGCAATTACACTCTCCTGAAGCGGCTGTCTAAAGCTGGGATGCTTCCATGTGCATAGATAGCCTCTGATATCTCTCCTATGTGGGTCGTAGTCACTCTTTAAGCACAAGTCTTGGTGGGCACCAAGTGTTGGTGGGCTGGGCTATTCAACCTGGGAGGAATGGTCATAGTCAAGCCGAGCATCCACATGTGTGCATTTTTTAGCAAGGGTCATTGGGTAGCAATCAAGAGTGGAAACTCTAGCCAACTTTACTTTCCTAGCCCAAGGCACTGACGCCGACTGTAGCAGTCCTACCATAGCACTCAAACAAAGAACAGAGAACTCAGCATAGAGCATAAGTCAATACTTGGGACTTTAAAGGTCTGTGTGGATTAGTTTAATATCTGATAATCTTTTTCTATTTTAAGAGCTTCTATTTTAAACAGAACCCTACTGCCAGTCAACAAATTTTAGAATATAAAATGTAATTTAGCAATAGGGAATGCAAACAATCCCAAGTCACACTTTAGGCTTTCTTTGATAGCCCAGTTAACCATTTAGGCTGATAAGTTCTAGAACTCAAAGGTTACAAAGGTCCCAAGTGTGTGTTTGCCAGTCCTCATTTTGCCACAAGAAACTGTTAAAATCATACAGCTGAAAATGAATTATGCCACAGAACCCAATATTCCTTGCAATTGATCCAGCTGACAGGACGTCTCAAAGCCCATAACAAGATTTACTATAAATTGCAGTGTCTGTGCATTTTTAGCTGAATGCAGTAGTTAATTTGCCCACAACAATGTCCTACAAACTGCCATGAAGCAAATGACCAATTTTATTTGGACGATCGTTGACCAGGAGAAACTCCCTTCCCTTCCAGGATAGTGCTGTGGGATTTTTAACTTGCACCTGAACAAGTAAATGGCGTTTCAGTTTGATATCTCACCTGAAGGGAGAGCACCTTAATGCAACACTCCCCCTGCACTGACCTAGAATCACAGAAAGAAGGTAAAATAAGAAGGGTTCTCAGAAGCATTTAACTGTGGACCGAGATTTAGGACGGTAGGCAAGGGAACAGATGGAAGAATGGGATTTGAATTGGGTGGGAGGGAGGAGATACCTGACAGACTGTTGTTTTACATCCATCCACATTATCAGAAAGAGCAGGTCATGGCACGGATGTGGGGTAGAAAGGACAGTTGAGGGTCAAACAAGACGCCAAGGTTCCGGACTGGCTCAGTGAAGTGGCACAAAGATCAGAGCTGGTTTCCTATATCAATAGTTTTCCAAACCTATCTTCACTGTCACAGCTTCAAAGATACACTGCTACTCAAAAGTATTTACAACCCTGTAGAAGCATCAATCACCAGGTTCCAATATAAACAGATTCAATTTAGTCAGAAAATTAATTGGATCAAAAAGCCAATGATTATTTGGCTTTCCGCAGAATAAAAATAGGTCGTCAAACACTGTTATTTTGTGGAATCTTGTATAAATTTTCAATGATTCTAAACTGTGTACAAATTTGCTCCTTTTTCTTTACATGTACAATAGATTTTATTTTCAATTCTTTCTGACAGTTCTTTTTCCCTATATTCAAACTGGAAAGATTTCTTCCCACAATTTTAAGTGTGGTGGAAGCGGGGGAAAGAAAAATAAATAAGAAAATATAATTTTACAAATGGAAAGCAAACCACCCTGTTTCTAGGCCAGTAAGTGAGCTGTATACAGAAAACCCACTGGTCATCATCCCTGAATTTGAGGAAAACAGTTCAGGCTACAGATGGGCAGCAGAAGGGAGACTCACCACAAGGTTTGCACGCCAACTATTCCTTGCAGTAAATTCAGATTGGAGCTAGCAGAGATCTGGCAGCTAGCTGCATGTCCTCCTCTCAGCCAGAGCTGGCATATGACATGAAACCATCGAGAGTAAGAAAGAAAATCTCACAAAACAAACAAATGTGATTTATATTTCTCAATGATACCTGTTAAAAAAATTCCTGGATCAGCAGGATGTATAAATGTAACTTTACCACAAATCAACAAGATTAAAGTTTTATAAGGGGGACATTGACCAGGATATAAAGGGTGAAAAAGAGTCACTGACAAATGTGCAATGACAATTTCACCAACATTTTCCAAAGTTCCATGCTCCTGCCTCTGAGGGAATGGATGGGAGTCAGATCGAGATTAATCTGTCAAAAGGATTAGACAAACAAAATGTATTTTAAACGCTCTGGGACGTTACGCTGCGTCACTATGTAAATGCAAGTTGTTGTTTAGGGATGGCCTATGAGAATTGTTCTCTGGGATTTCATTTCATAATATTAGAAGTAAACATCTATTTAGAATATTGTCTGTCACTTGTGTTGTGTGCATTTTAAATGATTATTATTTTCACCCATGCACTGTTTAATTTCCAACCACAACCAGATCGTTATTCTCCTTTGAAGCCAGTGTTTTTTTTGCATGATATTCCATTTCTTGAAACCAAGATGATTTGAAAATATCAGCACTGAACACGTTCACAAGAAAAAGATTCAGTGGGAATAAAAGCTACGTCATGTGAGGAGTTAGATACAGAGAAATCTAAGAGCTGATGGTATCTTGCAAGACTAAATTGTCTTGTTTGCAAACATGGAGAAGAAGCAGATGAAGCCATTATTGATCGAGCATGTTGCAAAATTACTAGGGACTGCAATCTAATTGAAGGGTTCGGATCAGTTTGATATATAATGAATAATGGAGGTACTGGAAGCAAGTTACAGGGATAAACTAATAAAGCTCAGGTTACATTGCAAACCACCAGAAACCTGCTCCGCACACAATCTGTACCAATGTCTCTCAGCAGGAATTGCAGGCTTACAGAGCTCTCATTATCAAGTGATCTATGAGATTGGCAGGTTTAGGTAGGAACTTGTAGCGACGGCATGTAATTGTTCCTTGTGACAGATGGGCTTAATTACAACACGTGCCATACAAGCAGATGACACTTCCACTACCTGAGCCAAATCGACATTGCATTAAATCAAATTA